GATCTTCCACCTAACACTTTCCATTATAAGTCCATCTAGGGAGCACACGACCTTGTAGAAGGTGCATGAAGCGAGATACTCCATGAGACTTGAGTTACGTGCGCGGTAGCCTAGCTTATTGATACGGCCTGCTCTTGATGACATAGGTTGAAGGTGAGGGGGCAGAAGAAGTCGTACCCAGAGGAGAGCCTGACGGCATCTTCGAAGAAGAAGAAAGAAGAAGAAGAAGAAGAAGAAGAAAAGAGGTTGATAAAGGAGGATGGGGAAGGAAGGATGAAGGGAGGATTGATTGCAAAAGGCGGTAAGTAAGGACTCGAGATACCATGTGAAGAGTGTGGCTGCAAAAAGCGCGTATCTACATATTAGGAGCGGTTGCATCATTAGCAGGAAGAAAGAAGAGAGGGAAGAGGCATGAATCTTTGGACTTCCTGTGGATCTATGGTGTCTCTTATAATATTGAGGCGAGCCAAGAACACCCACGGTCGACAGCCAAACAGAGTAAACAACTCCATACTCCCATGGACGAAAATAATTATGAAACTGATAGCCGACACTGCGTGAAATATCATTCTTAACCGATGCATCTTTGGTTACAAGGTCCATGGTAATGAAAGACCAATATCACTTTTGTTTTACGTGGACAATCTTAAAGTGTTTGCTAAGAACGAAGCGATTCTCTCTCAAATGCTGGCTGGTGACAATGATTTTAGCAATGGCATCTATATGAAATTTGGTCTCGACAAATGTGCAAATGTGAATTCGGCAAAGTCACTTCGGCAAAGTGTAAACGTCAAAGAGCATTGAAGTTGAAATGCCCACTGTGATTCAAGGTCTTGAGCCAGGTGAAACTTACAAATATGTGGGCTTTGAAGAATATGAAAACATTTCGAAGAACACAATGAAAGAGAGAATTCTCACGGAGTATTACAGAAGAGCGAATCTCGTTCTCGCAGTCCGCTCTGAATAAAATATTGGCAGTAGGTTTAAAATGTGGCTTTGGAATAAAATATCTGCAATAGGTGATTTGGCGGTTCCTGCAGCACAGTATAGTTTCGAACTAGGGGACCGGACTGAGCTAGACATTCTAATCATGGGTCGAAGAAACAGAAAACTGCTTACAATGCATCATGCTTCCAACCCTCGAGCTGAGGTATATATACTTTATGAGTCACGTAAGGAAGGACCTCGGTAAGATTGAAACCTCCCTCCACAATGCAATAGTCGAAATGGAAGTATGTAGTCAGTCAAAAAGATGATCACCTAATGTCATTGCCATTTAAGGTTATTAAATTTTACCGAATAATTGGAAACAGTGGCATTGTAAGACACTTGCGCGTGAAGAAAACTATGCAACGCGCAAACATGCAAGTAAACATGCAGAATAACAAAGACATTGAACTTGTGATGCTACTTAACTTGAAATGTGTGACAAAAATGTTAAAGAAATCTTGGAGACAAATTACTCCAAGGACAATATCAAAAAAGAATGGCCAAGGTATTTATAAATTAAGAACAATAATATATGTGACTTAAAAGGAGAATAATGGAGCCAGAGTCGGAAGCAGTTCTAATAGCTGCTATACAGGATCAAGCGTTAAGAACACGACACTATGATAAAGCAGTTCTCATAATTTCCCAAGACGATATATGCAACATCTACCAGGAACAAGTCGAAACCATCGATCATATCTGGTCCGTCTCTGGCCTGCTTGAGCAAGGAATACTTATTGTCACGGAAATTTAATGAGCATCGAGCGTCGAGGTATTCGTGAACATCATCTGCTTCTGCACGACACGACCGGCTATGCAGCAGATTTGACTGTTTAACAATGCTGATAGTGGCGTCTTAGCTTGTAAAGCCGTCAGATTTTTCAGAATAGCTACGATGCCATTTGCTCCTAGTGAATAATATTCCATAGTTCAGCCGGCCCGGGAATGTTCTGCTCTCTACTTGCCCGTTTTCGAAGTAGTTCGAGCATGTAGATTCTAAGACAAATTTGTTCTTTTTCTCTGTAACGCTGTCGGCGATTTGAAGAAAAATTAAAGTTACCTCGGACGCGCGACGTTTGAAATGTATGCCATTTGCAACTAATTCATCCAAAAGAAGGGTAATTGCTTACATTCGAGATTAGGCGCCAAATTTGAATCAATTTAGGTGCCTCAACAGCGGATCAACATGTTTTGTTATCACGCTAACGTGATATTCCAGATCAGGACCAGTTTAACACGGAGGCACTTGCCTAATGCTTTTGTAACTTTATGTAAATGAAAAAAATATTATTTGATATAGTTTGAATATAATATCTATTCAGAGCATGATATATAACAATTTCATGAGTTGCGCTCTACATGCCATATTTTCAATCATGAATGTTTTCAAAATAGTCTGCACATATAAAACACATGTAACCACATACAATCCAGCTTTAAAATTGGACCTGTACTGTCATACTGTTGAAATCAATTTGTATTGAAAATGGTAATTTACTAGATTATACAAAATAGTAAATAATATTTTCCATCTTAATTCCCAATATTACTTGTTAAGGAAAATATGTATATTTTAACTTAGTATTCATTATTCGCTTTGTCTCACTCTGTCATTTTGTCTTTCACTGAAAGTCTCAAATTTGAAAAATGGAATTCCATGAGGGACAATGGCGGATCTTGAAAGTATTTCGGTGGAGCGGGGGGGGGGCAATTTCCATTATTAGTCACTCATTAATGTTTTTGTTAGTTAAAATGAAATACAAATGTATCATCATACTAGGCTAAGGACATAACACTCTGTGTAGAACATTAGGAACATTACGACAGGCTGTAGAATACATTTTATGTTTCTAGCTTTCACTGAACTTATCTGGCTTATGAGAAACACAGTATCTTGCTGATATACTGAAGTTGCATTTGCGTTTGTCAAGTACTGATGATTTAGTGAAGGTCATATTGATAACGATACCATAACACATTAACTCGAAAGGGCAAGTACACTGAAGAGCAAAATTATTTGTTTAATGCACTCAGATACTTGAATATCAATTAGTTGTATTGGTTTAGCTACCTTAATTGTGAATATGGTGATAGTAACCTTACACATAATAAGATGGTAAG